GAACGGTGTGGAAATAAATTCTTGCATTAAATATTTCTTGGAGAGAGATATCCCGAAATACAACATACAAGAACCTCATTTACATGATCAATGTATATACAAATCTAATACAAGGAAATGTTTGGATTGAAATCAATACCGAGCATTATTTTCTCATGCATAGAAAAAATTAGTTTTACCATTTTGTTTCCAATTGTCAGCTCACATTTATGAATATTCATGTTTGGAATGAAATAATAAAACGAAGAAATGTCTTCTGTAATCATTCTGAGCATTGTTAGAAGCCTGGGTCTTAAACGTAGAGATTGCAATCAATGTGCAATCTTACTGTAGCTCCTCACATAACTTCAGAGGCTTGAGATTTCACATCGTTTAGGATTCAATATTTTTAGCCCTCTTGAATAATAGTAGCCATAGGCTACAGCCCAGTACACCTGACTACACAAAATCAAAGCTTCCCGCCAACCCTATTCCCAAAGAACACAGAAGACAAACTAGGAAAGATAAGGTCTTTGTAGAGTCATAACATTCTCCTCAGTTGCCATTTATCAAACGATTATTTTTTATTTTTATGAAAGCGATTTAAGAAAAATAGCCGAGACTTCACAGTGTAATTGACTTAAATAACCTGATGCATTATTCATCACAACTAATTTCATCTAAGCGATTTCAAAAATTGCATCTCTTTTGTGAAATCGTGAATTATACCTAAATGATTTCTTTTCAAAGAACACTGAACCAGAAACATTTCTTAAGCAAAGAATCTTCAAATGTAAAGAAATAATACTGACTGTTCCAGGTGTTTGAGTCAACAGCCAAAAGCAGATGTTTTGCGCATATCACAAAAGAATGGCTAATTATTCAATTCCAATCCAATATGATTTATTAAAACAAATGAGACTTTTCTCATCAGGAGATACAACAGCAACAATTACCGCCTGGAACATGAAGCACCGTATTGTTCCAGTCAGCTTAGCTATGCATGACATACCCCAGTGCGGTCATGGCCCACTGGTCCATACTAACATGAATCAACAGATATAGTCATTAAACCAACATGTACATTAACAGGAAAGGTTGCACAGTACAGTCGAACCAGCACAATGCATCAGTGAACATTGAACTTCGACAGAACACTGTCCTCGGAATGTCTGCATATCTATATTCATGATCCGTACACCAACTTGAAAACTGCAACTATTTATAACCACAATTAATTCTCAATGCTAAACACTACTTTGATTATCGACCAGTCAATGCTAAGCATCACAATTTGCTGTTACATGTATTCAAATTATATTGCACATTCTCTTTTCCTGAAAAGCAGTTCTGTATACAACTAAATCTGAATTGTATTTACTTTGAAATGTTTCCCTAGAAACCATTATTGTTTCCCTACAAACCATTACAATATACAACTAAATCATATTTGTTTACATTGAATATTGTTTATCGAAACACCAACTGTATACACCCAGGTCATATTTATATATCTGTAACAACCCTCCTAGAAAAGGGCAGAGCTCAGAACTGAATCCCATTTATTATTATTTCAAATACTTTCACTTTCTTATCTGTCAGTGTGTCAGATGTATGATATATGTTTTCATGATGTTTTCATTTAGCTCAAAGATGGAACGCTCATTCAATCCAAAAGAGATATTTCATTGTCTAGTGTGATATATGTCCCCCCATGTGACCTGGAGTGAGCAAACTGAACCAAGCCTACTGCTGTTTAATAGTCTCCAATGCTCACAAAAGCTGGCCTTATGGCAAATCCATGCTGTTTTTATGACAAGTCACCAAGTTTCATGCCTTTCCTACAATCCAACCCGACGCAATTACTTACATCTCCAACCAGTAACGCACCCTAGTCTCAACAGAATAACACTTTCTTGATACCACATTTCAAAATCCCAGTCAATGTTAACAATGACTACAAAGAAATTCAAACATTAGTTTGATACATCTCAACCTAAATGTCTACACAATGAACTTTTTACTGAAGTGACTTATTAGGAGCAGACAGATATAACAACAGTTCTTTTTGGCCAGATGGTGTATATTTCATTCAAAATGCATATGACTAATTACGGTTATATAACCATAGCTTGTGGAATTTATAAAAACAAATATGAGCATCATCAAAACTTCTTTCCATGTTCAATACATACTCATGAGTTTCATTTGTAAGATACATACATGTCAGCCATTTTAATGTTTGATGTACTATTTCCCTTACAGCTGGTTACATAAAATACTTGTTTCAGAAGTTTGGAAGTGAGTTTAATTTATCTTAAAACTAACAAAATATTGTCACCAAAATATATATCGCACATAATTTATTCTTCCTAATCTTACAATGGCTGTGAAGAAGAAAAATATGACATTAATGTTTGTGACATTTTGCGTTCTAGATCCTAAAGAATGTCGAAGCAGAAGACACTAAATCTGATGAAATGTTATCCTCGCATAATGACAAACTGAGATCAAAGGAAATAAATTCTCTCACAACAATAATTATATACCCGGCTGTCAATTGACTTTTATTCCTACACTGTCTATTAAACAGGACAATTATATTCCATAAAGAGCAAATCCAAGGGGTATTAAACGGCATAATTTTCTTTATGGTTGACATTTAAGTGAATTACATTTTAAAGTATGTTGTAAAATCTCACAAGAGGACTAGGATGCCACTTTGATGGCTTTCCACACTCCAAAATGTGTTAGTTTCATTGAACATAGAAATTGGGAAACAAATATGTATTTTTAATGAAATTTGTTAGCTCGGGTTAATCGTGTTGATGCAAAAATTACAAGGGATCTGGGAAGGAGATGGCCAGGATTCAGCTGGGATGCTTCTCATAAAAATGTCTAAGTTTACACTGTAAAATACAACATGCTGTATTGATCACAGGTTTAGATTCTTTTTGACCAGACAAATAAAAGGAAAAAAAGGAAAAAACCCATTAGGAATACGTGTTCATATTCCACCGCAATCCGGACAAGACCCTGAGGATCACAATGAACATTACTCAAGATATATTAGAGTCACATACACACCCTTAAAAGTCTTTTGATATTTTTCAGTGCACAATGACTGTTTATAGAATTGAAACATGATATCCAAAACAAAAAAACACCTTTTCTTCCATAACAATGGCATGAAGTTGATATCATGAAATATACACTCCAAGCCAGACGTCTACACAAGAACATTAATTGTACATTAAAGCACTGACAGATCACGTTCAAACTCCTCCATAACTGCAATAAAGAAGTAAAAGCATCAAATGGATTAGAACTACATTTTCAGTAATAAAAATGTCTAAAGGGTTCAAACGACATATGAAATACAATTACAGACCAACCATTTGTTTCTTGCTTAACCGAAAACAGGAAGATCTGTTTAAACTCAGATTCCTGAAAGAAGCTTCTTTCAAGGTGATTATCCATATTTGGCTGCTGATGCAAATATCCTACCCTAACTGTGTGTGCATAGAATAATTCCTCATTATCACATGGCTTATCACTGCATGTGCACTGCTTCCAGAGCATCAGCACCACCATGGCTGCCTTTATAGGTGGATACAGTAATTGCTGCCACATTGCTGATCTCAACAAAGCTGACTTGATAACACTTTTTCACGATTCTCTTCCGAAAATTGGCAGTGCACCGTCCCACATACAAAGAATTATGCTTGAGATCAAAAGGCGACTAACCAAGGCTGTATCTTCCTGTTAGCGTAAAAGTGTTCAGTCAGACATCACGAGCTGGGAACAAATGCATTATGGGCCCTCAAATGCCATATATCAGATGCTAACATGATCAGTAAATAAAATAATCCACTCGTGCAATCTTTTCATAATTATCTTCCCTCACATATATAAATCTAAATTCGCTTATTTCCATGAAAAATGTAAGATCAAATGGCATGGATGCCAAATCTAATTTCAACCAAGTTGGTACATGAAATATTATCATTTCACCAGAGAACGTTTGGAATGGATATGAAAAATATTCCTTCCCCATCAATTTGGTGCAGAATTTGTCATAGTTAGAGACCTGGTCTGGTTGTGGTTGTGGACACTGAGAATCAAATCAGAGATATTCAGTGAAAACTCCATCACGATGATTATACAAGCAATGACAACATGCTAAGTACTATGTCTGCGTCTGCCCATACAAGATACTGTTTTCCTATTGCTAGGTCTCTTTCCACTCAATTTGATATCTTCCTGACAACTGCCTCTGGGCATAAGTCGGAAGACGCGACTTGACATAAATTCCTGGTGTTTTGTACGCAACTCAAAGAATACTTGGCTGATCAAAGACTGTGTAACAGTGCGGGATAAGACAACATAATTATCCTCAATGCTTCTGTGATTTCAGGCTGCTTTAATTGATGAATCATGCAACTCCGATGTGCAGTTTATGTGGGGCCTGCTCGGAGCCAGGCTGTCACAGCCCGTGCCAGGTCATCACAGGACCTGCACACATCTAGGTTCTCCCTATCAATGCAATCCATTCTCGTGAAATATGTGGATTCCCCTCGAAACATATTAATTCTTCTTTTGTAGACGTTTATACTTTTATGCCGGTTAATAGCTCGCCCCATGAGAAATCAAATTTCAACGCCAACATTTCGAAAAGAAATTCTATTTACTTGTTGGCTGATTGAGAAGCCGATTAGTGGAACATTTAATCGACTTGAAACTCCGTTCTGATGTTCAAGTTTTTGTAATCAATTGATCTTTTTTGCCATTAGCTACTGAAGACAGAAATTTATAACAGATTAATCAAACCCTTAAATCTTAAGAAGAACTTGGATGGCACTCTATCATTAAACTGTCAACTGCCTTTCAGCTCATATAGAAATATCTCAATATTTCTCTGATGCTGGCAAATTCAATCTGATGTATTAGGGGGGAAGTGCAAGTGTAGTATGTCTTCATGAGCCTGAAAATGTAATAGGGAAAATGACAAAAATTCATACCTGAATCTTTGGCGATAATGATGAGTTTGTATTCTGCTGTGGCTTCCCTGTCAAGTGTCTGATGAACAGTTATCTCCCCTGACCGACCTTCAATTTGAAATATTCCATCATCGTCTAGAAGAGAATAAGTCAGTTGACTGTTCGGTGCTGAGTCATCGTCTCTGGCCGTCACTTGCATTAAGTGAACAGGAATGTTTCTGTTGTTTTCCTGAACAAATGCAACATAGGGTGAATCTACAAACACAGGTGCGTTGTCGTTGACGTCAGTGACATTAACGACTATGGAAGCTGTTGCACTGCGCACAACATGGACGCCACTGTCTTCTGCTTGGACAATCAGGTGGTACTGCTGATTTCGTTCATAGTCCAGATTCTTCTGTATCCTTAGAACACCGCTACTCATGTCCAGATTGAAGTCATAGTTGTCATCCCCTCTGATGATGTAATAACGAATGATTCCATTCAAACCTTCATCCAGATCAGTTGCAGAAACCTTCAGCAAGCTCTTGCCAACAGCAATGTCTTCTGGCACTGTTGCACCATACGTCTGCTTCATAAACTGCGGGGCGTTGTCATTTACGTCTTCAATATGAACAGTCAGACTCTGTATGGTGCTCAATGATGGCTGACCTTTGTCAGAAGCAGTGAGGTCAGAGAGTAGTTTGCAATGGTTTCCCTATCCAGGCCCGTGTTCACTTGGAGGTGTCCACTTGCTTGGTCCAGAGTAAACGGATATCCAAACCCAGGAACAGATGCGAGACTGTACGACACCTGACCATTCTGACCAGAGTCGGCATCTGTTGCCAGCACAGTGAACACAACCGACCCCCTGCTCGAGTCTTCCTTTACCCAGGTTGCATTGGGGCTCTTGAACTTGGGAGGACAATCATTCACATCCTTCAGTTGAATTGTGACCTATAGCAGAAAAAAAGGATTCTATATTTTCATGTTTGATCACCCTACAATCACTTTTCCTTACGCATCATTAACCCTAAGCTGGTACCTACTACCACTTTCCTATACATATAATGAACCCATACCTTGCCATATTATTGCCTTTACTTACATATTATGTACCCTTACCAATATCATGTAACCTTATCATGTAACCTTACCTAAACTGACTATTATTACCACTGCCAGCTTTGGGCCTTCATTGTAATCCTGTACACTAACCTTAACACTACTATCACCTTTTCCTAAGTATAGTATTGCTTTAAACATAATATCTGGTAATATAAAATACATGTAAAAAATAGGACAACTTAATTAAATAATGTCGGGAAATGCCACAGACATTAATGAAATTCTGATTGCTTTCTAGAGTGCAAAACATCTAATTGCTTATGTTATGTTGATATTAAACAAATTCTGTTCACATAAGCTGTCATCTAAATGAAATCACATGATCAATTAACATATAACACAGCAATTTCAAGTGAGGTTTACAATGAAAATAAGTTTGTTTTTTTAAACATTTTTTAACATGAATGTTTGATCAAGCCATTTTACACTTGACATGAAGTAATCATGTTTATCAGCTAAAATCAGTTTTAAATTACTACCAAGAATCCTCAATCAATTGGGTTCTGGTGTTCTGTGAATAATTAATCATATGCATCTAGAATTGGGTCAGAAAAATTGTAGTGCTCTATGGCTCCTAGAAGCTGGAATTAGTTGTAATCAGACACTATTTCTGACACTATACAGGAGAGGGCTGTTAATTATGAAACAATCACTAGTCACAGACAGTCCGCCTGCTTCACATTCACAATGCTATTATATTGTTAAATGCAAAGACAAAAACAAGACATATTATTACAGTTGCTGAAGTTGATAATCTATCACTAGGGGGCTCTGCTTGGTCAGTTGCTATGACGATCAGACGATAGGTTGGGATGTTTTCTCTGTCCAGGTAGCCGATGGTGTAAATCGTTCCATTAAACGGTCCGATGCCAAACTGGTTCTTCCTATCTCCACCCGCTAGAGAGTACCGGATTTGACTGTTGATGCCTGCGTAACAAAACAAAACGTATGTAGAACATTGTGAACATTTACAGCTGTGAGATTCAGTATGAATTAGGGGTGACTATTGAGGGTGCAACAACAAATAGCGATAGTCTATAGTCTATTGGAACATACTATTGCAATAGCGATAGTCTATTGTGACCAAATATTGCAATACTATTGCAATAGTGTTTTTTCTCCTTGAATTGTCTCAAATGAACATATAGTTTATATGAAATAAAAACAAGTAGTTTCAGTCAATTTAATAACTGACAAGAAACTTGAAACCCAGATCAGGTAAACAGTTAACACATGAACTCAATCAAGCTGCAAGTCTGCACTCTCAATCAAAGTGAACAAATCTGGTACTTCCTGTAGTTTGCGCTGCACATTTATCATCGGAAGTCAATTACTAAACTATCGATAGTCACACATACTATCGATGCATCGATAGGTTTTCATTTCTACCATCGATTAATTGCTATCGGAGACTCAACAATTGCAATGCATCGATAGTTGGATGCATCGTTACAACCGTGGTGTGAATACAACTGAGACATCTGACAAAGAATTATCAAACTCGTGTAAAAAATCTACTGCCAAAAACACAACATATTTGAAGTACACTCTTTAAAAAAGTAGGGGAGCCTGAACTTTCAATTTGTATAGGAAGTATAAGCATTAACAAACTTTTCAAAGACAGACATCTTATGAACACACCACCAGTTTTCTTTATCACCGCACCTAAACACAACGCATGGAATGCTCGTGCACAACACAGTAGCCCCATACACGTGCATGGGGCGTCATTCTTGATTTTGACGGTTTTCAAGAAGGTCGATAAATCACTGTAGACTATTAATTTTGACAATCATCTTGTATCACACAGTTGTTAGTGTTTGTTTCTAGCCGGTTTTTGTTTGGTTGAAAATGAAAATCATACACATGCAAATTTCACGTCATACACCAATAATCTTTCAAGAGCGATTACTGTACAAACAACTATGGTCATAAAGAAGTGCAAGTGGTGATGCACTCTCAAAACATTCATTATTATCATATCAACAATGACTGACTCCAATATATCTCCCAATTTTTCAATCATAAATTCAAAATGAAGTTCCCCTACTTTTTTTAAAGAGTATATTTACAGTTTCATCATAGGCAAATATATACCTTTAAAACCAATACACAGCTATGACTGGTTCCATTATGACTAAAAGGGTGTTATAAACCCCATCAAGTCAGGTATGTTAATATCAGCTGCACCTGATGTAATGGCAGGTTTAACTGGATCACATCCCAGCAAACAATGCTCTCCATAAAACTACCTTTTATACATCTGTTTGATCACTCACTGTGTCTATTGTCTACTTCACAGGGTAAAATAACACTGGAGCTAGCAGTTCTAGTTGAAAGCCTATTTTGATTAGTTCAAAATATATACACATCTGTGTTTAAGTCAGCCAGTCTCCTCCCACAGAGAGCAGATAAAACAAATGCACTTAAACATTTTTTCTCTCAAACCTGTCTATGATATTTCATGGCTCTAATCTTCCCTGATAACTTCCCTGAACATCTTTAGAATTCATTTATTTCTGTATTTCAGGTCAGGTTTATCATTTTTACAACTTGATAAAAAAAATCCCCAGCTAAAACATGTATCCTCTTACATGTCACCAGGAAACTAGCACCTGCTGGCTGAGACTGTTCCCCTGACAAGGACTGATATTGTCTGTTCACACATACCCTCTCTGGTATTTAACAATCAACCACCATAAATTATGAACTTTAATCTTTCGAAATATCTTCACAGTCTGACTGGAGAAATCATTTAAACAAGATTTATGGTCTCTATTGTGCAAGGGGAAAAAATACCCAGGGCACTTTTGGGCATATACTCGTTGTATATCTCAAAGATAAGAGATTATATACACATCTTGATGCATTACATGAATGATTTGGCAGAACCTTGAAAGAAGAAGTTCAAATTTGTATTACAGTGTCTGCACTGTCATGAACCCAGACAGTAAATATGCTATATACCTGAACACTTCTTTTACAACTACTTCCTTTATTGCGTTCATACAATAAAAGGATCCATCCATTTCAAAGCAAACAGAATGTTTAGAAAAACTGAAACATTGTATGACATATATTTCTTAAACGAACTTACCTCAACAAAAATCCCCCACATATGTACAGGGTAACTATTTAGCTTTTAAGTTGTTTCAATATTTGCTAAGCATGTGTGACATAATTGACCATGTGCAAATATGTTTCATGGAATGGACAATAAAGCTTACAAGAATATTATTAAGCAAAGCCAACTCCACAAACAAAATATTTAAACGAAAGAAAACGAAAATACTCCAGACGAAGTACAAATCCTACATATGGCCACTCAAAAGCAGCCATTATTCTCATGCAACATGACCTACTGGATAACTGAGTTAGCGCCTGTGTTGTATAACCGACAAAACACATGTCACGTGTGTGATATGCGCCTGTATCAGCACAGGGTGTCTGTCAAAACATGAACCGGGTTTACATCAGAACAGGAGTCAGCATTTATCTAGATGCAAACATGATTAAGGTAGGGGATGAAATTCAAGCATATAAACTTGCACAAAAATCACATCAAACAGGTGATCCTATATACACAAGCAGAAAAACAGTCTTTGAAATCCTGATCCCATCGTTAGATTCAACATTTCTTGTACTATGTGATTAAGCTCACAGTGTCCTGAACACATATATTAGCAAGATCTGTTTCTTTCAGCCTTTTTGAAGATTCCATCACTGACAAAATGCATTTCTCTTGTGTTCAAGAATATTTATTAAGCCAGTGTGATTTGTCAAGTTATCTAATCATCAATTGATGACACATTTTTGAAAACCTTTAACTCCAAATAAAACCAAGCAGATCTGAAGCGATCCCATTCCCAAAGAAATGAAACTTTCAAAACTGATGAACGTGCACTTTTTCGCCTTCCAGTGTATAGCTGGTGAATTGAATGCAACGTCTGAGTTGAACTGTTCATCGATCTTCTCATTGTTAAGGGCCTATTGTCATTTGAAGATGCACCAGCAGTTTTTACGATGCAAAAGTTATATTATTTGTCAGCAAGGTTTGAACTACATCTATGTGATGGCCAGGCAAGATCCCAGCCATTATAGTTGATTATGCAAGATTTCCACCCATTACAGAAAGCACTGCTTGCAGGAACGAAGATTCTATTCAATGATGACTCACAACGCAATATCTACTGTTAAAGATAACTATCCAAAATATTGATTTCCTCTTATTCAACACAAAGAAATATACAGCCTCTGTATCTGCAATCATGATATGGAAACGATGCAATGATATTAATAAAAATATACTGCCATTTATTACTGGAAGGAATTTCATTATTCAGATTCCTTTTCTGTGTTTTTGTGCAATCTTTTCATGTATCGTGTAAAATACATATATATTTTTTCTTAAGATATGTTTTATTCATGTCATTCATACAAAATTGAAAACTTAAATGTAAAATCTGTCTATGCATTTCAAAATGATTTAAATGGTCGCCTGGGCCTTGAAGAATTCCTTATCTAATCTGAAGGAAACCAAAAAGAGGCTGTAATCCCATGATGCCGCAGTGATAGCAGCAGAACGTAAGTCGACGCAGAATGCTAAGAATAGTCAGTCAATGTTGTCTAAGCCACCTTGATAATAATTATGTTTGTTTAGGATTTCTTTCAAGTTTCAGATTGGCAAATCATACGCCATCTTACAAATATTCACGTCTGCTAAAGTCCTTTTTCAATAAGGGTATTTTGCCTCTGTGCTAAATTGATCGACTTGCAATTATTTTGAGGTTGTCTTAAAGCAGGTATAAGGATGGTAAAAGACCTGTTCCCAAAGAAAACACTGTTGCCATACTCAACAGCCCTGAACCACACCCACTTATTGACCAACATGGCACTAATTATAACACAGACCTTCAGAATAATCCCTCGGGGCTTTACAGACATTATCGATAAAGATGTTTCAGGGCCAATCTGATTGATAAAACATAAACCTGATGGTTTCTTTGGAACTTATTGAATTTTGAAAAACAATGCAGTTGAAACACACTAAATGCCCACATTATGACAATTAAAAACATCAATATATGCAACAGTCTCCTTTAAGCTATCAGTTGAGTACAAGTCTTCAATACAATGATCCAGTCCTTGTGTATCACTTAAACATATGATAAAAGAACCATGCCTTATCTATAAAATGTCAGTTGTAAGGATAGTAGCATATGATATAGCCATTAGACCAGTGGTTATCAGGAAACTAGTATCCAGTGTCCGTGCAGACCTCATGTAAGATAGCAGGGGCGATACATTAATAATGGCTGTGAATCCGTAAAGGAAAGACCTTGAATCCCTAGTGAAACTGAATCAATGGTCATTACAACCATGGCTTGGAGTGGTCAGCCATGAAACAATTCAGAAGCTGTTGTCATCGATGGTGGTCAATCAGCCATCTCATGGCTACTAATGTGAGTTGAATGCATAGCCATTTCGTTAAGAGTTTGATAGCTCTTGCAGTGAGGAGGGGGTGAATTTTTAATAACATTTTCACCGCTTCATTTCCTCCAGGTGTAGGGGGCACATGTCCTAAACTTGAACATGTCATCTGCTTCAAGATGGGAGAAGATTTCAAGCACCTGCTCATTCATTAATTAATTGCACTTTTCTCATTTGGAGACGGAATCATTAATCGCATATTTTCCTTGTAGGAAAGATCTGTCAATGAGTATTTCCTTCAGTACATTTCTGAAATACTTTGAAGGCAGAGTTCAGCAGTGTACAGTAGCATACATATATAGACAAATCAACAAAGTTCCCTGAATATAAAGCTGAAACACGCAATAGGGAGATTCTTCTTCTGTCATATTTTGTGGACTTATATTAGTGTGTGACCTTTTTTTCAACCCTAAATGTGAAAGAACATAACATTCATA